AAGACGACGTGGCAGATGTATGCGACACAATCCCTCAGCACCATCCTCCCGCAGATCGATCCGCTTGGCATCGACCTGTTACAGCAGATGCTGCAACTCAGGCCAGAGCTGCGCATCACGGCGGAGAACGCACTCAAGCACCACTGGTTTGATGACCTGATTGCCGCCCAGCAGGACCGACAGCAGCAACAGCACCATCTTCAGCAGTCGCAACAACCAATGATGCAACCGCATAGGGGCTACGGTCATACGGTTCCCAGTCAGGGTGGCTATGGGAACTATCCGGCCTAGTTTGCTGACCCCATCTTTTCCGATGATGCTCTTTTTTTTTTACTGGCACCGCCAATACCCCTGACACTTTCAGTTCTACTACGGCTGCTGTACCGGCTCATTGTGGGGGTTCTGATCAAAACATCAACACCGCCCCCCCAGAGGAAGGAAGAGAGTGCATTGATGACGATCAACCCTCAGCTGCTGTTGCTCTAGATGGAAGTTGTTGATAGTCTGAAAGAGTTATTGGATTGTTAAACTCCTGATGGTGTCTTGAAGTGGGATTTTGACGTCTCGAAATATGTTTTCTGGCAGCGCTGGATCTTGGTAATTTTGGCATGGGGCAGGGTTGTGAATGGCATGATATTCAAGTATTCGTGTTGTTGTGTTTTTCTTATTTTCCTTTTCTGGATTTCCCTGTTGATTCTGTTTTGCAAGGCGTATTTCGTAGACCAGCGATGAGACAAATATAGTATACCCATTGCATTTGCATTCGTATAGTTTGCTTTTTCCCGACGGATGGGATTCGTACCTGATTGCAATTGCATTGCTTCAAAAACGGCGTCAGTGGATTTCCCAGGGATCAGCTTCAAGCGCTCTGAAGATCAGTTCGGCCGCTAAGCAGAGCACTCCCCCGCTAAATCCTTATCGATAACCTTAATCCGTCTCCATGTCTCCACCAATCGCGGTCACTCCTCCAGCTGGTGCGCAGTTGGTCACCTCACCTACCTACATCTAACACCTTAGAACATTATGTGCTAAAGGCCAATCCTCCTCAGACAAAGCTACCAAGAACCATCCGGCAATGGGCGAAATTCTATCAAGACCGCCAATTATTATTGTGCTCCGCCCTCTTGGATTGATTCCCCTATCATTAGTATCCGCTTTTTGATAACGCGACAGCTGTATTGCGATGGCGACGATTGAAGCGCGCAAAGGTACGCTACACTATCCACCGACGCCTATACATGACACGCGCGCCGATTGCTTCACATGCACTGCTCGGCAGCACAGCTTGCTAACATTTGATGTCTGCAACCAGATGAAGAGGCTACCATCAAGGTCGCCTCGACCGCCTCGACGAGCTTATCAAATAAAAAGTCCTCAACACCGTCCAAACCACCGTCCAAGCTTTCGCAATCTTCAGTGAATACGGGCAATCGAGCCTTCAATATTCGAAAACCCAGTCCACAGAAACAGAGCAAGCCTGGTAACTGGAAAGAGTCCTTTGTATTCGAAGGTTCGTGCAGTCTGGTATTTCCTTGTCTTTTGGACCCGTGATATGTGGTTACTTCGTCATGCCGTTCCTGTTGTCGCATTCCAACCCCTCAGCCGAACTCGACTGTTTAGTGGCATGGAACTAACGGTGATCAGAAGACAAGAGCAAGCCGATGATGAAAGATAAGGAAAACATTGTCGCTGCCTCCTCCCCACCTTCCCCTGTTATCAACGCCATCCATCACGATGACAGTCGCGAGACCTTTCTTTACGGCCGTCCCCTCGATGATATCCCCGAACTCCAGCAGTGCAAGCATTGCAAAAAGGGTGTCACCAAGGTGGCTGCGAAGGATCATATTACAAAATGCTTGAGGATCAAGAAGGAGAAGGCGCAGCGTAAGAAGGAAGCCCGCGAGGCTCGCGAGCGTCAGAAGGAAGCTGCCCTGCGTGACGAGGAAATGCGCAAGATCGAGGACAATGTCATCGCAAAGGGTGGCATCGACAGCGACAGCGACGACGATGATGACAAGAAGACCATCGTGGCTGCCAACGCCGGCAAGACCACCAAGAAGGCGACGGGCAAAAAGACAGATGTTGGCAGCAAGAAGCGAAAGGCTGAAACGGAGCTCGAGAAGGGCAAATCCAAGAAGAAGAAGGAGGACCCAAAGGGTGGCAAGGCCAAACCAAAGGGTCCCGTAGACGTCGAAAGGCAGTGTGGTGTGATACTGCCTACCGGTTTGCCCTGCGCGCGTTCCCTTACATGCAAGAGCCACAGCATGAGTGCAAAGAGGTCGGTCCCAGGGCGGTCGTTGCCGTATGACATGCTCCTGATGGCCTATCAAAAGAAGAACCAAGCCAAACAGCAGAAAGCGGCCATAGATGCGAATGCGCCGCTGGAGGATGAGGACGAAGTCAATGCTGCCGTGGTCGACAGCGACGAGGAAACCGCCGCTGTGATGGCCGCTCTGGCACGCTGGAACCCACAGCCAGTTGTGCCACAGCCCGTGTTCGCCCCAATCAAGCGCACTTACCAGCTCGCCCGTCTCCACGAACAGCTGCAGACTGCAACGAATGGCGGTCGTGTCAACATCTTCAAGGTTAACGGGTTTGGTGCTCAGCGGTTGCCAGAAAACCATCCCGCCTTGTTTGATAATGAAGACGCCCCGGGCGAGCCTGACATTATTATGACTGGCACCGGCGATTTCTCTAGACGTTCTTCAAGTTTTAGTCTCTCTGGGCCACCTCAGCGGCGGCCGTCGGTGTCAAGCCGAGCTTAGGAGGCTCGCGCCAGTGCATCGTCGCCCCCAGCCCAGACACAACGAAACTTGTCGGTACCTCATCCTACACATCGGCGGGCTAGCCACCCCCTTACCGGTACGGAACCGGGCCTCGAAAGGGCACCCATATTGGAGCGTGATCCAGTGCCGGTGCCAGTACCTTTCGGCAACCAGGTAACCGATCCGTCTACACAGTCTTCTAACCAGCCAGCTCACGTCAAGGAGGAGTCCTTTGCGTTTGCGTCTCCTCGGCTGTCAGCAATTCCTCATGTTGAGCACCGACGATCGAGTTCGAGTATGCCTCGGCAGCCTTCGGCGTCTTTATTGTCTGTTGATTCACCTTGTTTGCGGGGAGGAGCGCAGCCTCCTCTAACTCTTCGTCGAGACTCTCAATACGGCCTTTCTTCTCCCACGATGGGACATCCATCCCAATCACCAGCTCCAAACCATGCTCACCCCGGTGCAGAGCAGCCTCGCGGCTTACTCTTGACAACCGCACCTTCGCCCCGACCTGACCAGCAGTCTATGCGACCTTCTATGGGCATGTCGAAGTTGGGCATGAACGGTGGAACAATCTCTGCTCAGCACCAACAGGTCTTCCATTCTCCACAGTATCTCCCATCGGGAGATCACCTGGATCAGATGGCAGTCGAAGACCTTTCTCCGACCACCACTTTGCCGGTGTGGACCGGCTTGCCGACACATTCGATGGGGTTGATGAGTGACATACACGGGGCAACACATCATCAACCCCAACTTCACCAACATATGCCGCTGCACCATATGCCATTTGATAGCATGGGAATGGAGACGATCTGGGGGAGGAATACCCCTCAACTTCCAAGCCAGGTTTTGCTCTCACAGGCACAGCCAGGCTCTATGATGAGGTCGCGCCGGTTTTCGCATGTGGCCCCTGGCTCGTTGACAACAGGGAGTCCGCGTCCAACACTTAGTCGGCATCCAGCGTTCCGACGAGGTCAGACCTCGCCGTCGCTTCTATACACCCAGGACTCCATGGCCGCCGCCGGTGGAGGTGCAGGATACCATTCTCTGGTAGATACCATCCGTGTGCCTTCTGATATCCCGGTCTCGCCTGTGTCTTCCACAATGTCGATGCCGTATGCGATGCCCGGATTATCTCCCTCTCAGCTTGAGGCGCGGTCCCGGGCTAGTCAACAATGGCAGACCCACGTGCAGATGCGACAGATGCAGCAGATGCAAATGCAAATGCAACACCAGGGTCAAGTATCTCCTGGTTCACAGATGCAGTTTGGTGGGTCACCTGCTGGTCTGTAAGCCGATGTGATATTCAACCTCGCGGCAAATGGTATATACGTTTTGCTCTTTAGCATCAGATACGCTTTTCAAGCCCACGATGAGCTTTTGCCCTCGTCTTACATGCCATGGCAGATGGTGTTAAGCTGGCCACCAAGTCCTTCCTCCGCAAACCCATACCTCTTCCTACCATTTCTTCATCAAGCCGCAACATTATAACTTTTAACACTTTCCTCACTAATGTTTTAGTATCACACTTGTTCGATTACCCTTTTTTGTTAGCGGAGTTCATGGCATTACAATTCATTTCCAAAGTCGTGGGGGGGATCGCTTTCCGCTCTTCTTCTCGCAACAATATACCTTCGCATGCTTTATGGTTTCATGGGCGCAACGGCAGCATTTCGCAATATGTCATGGGACGGGATGGGATGGGTTGTTTCATGGCTCCAATCCTTAGGGTGGAGCTAACTCACTCTTTCCTTGGAGAATATTCACATTGAAAACGGGTTGATTCCAGGCGTTCACGGAGTTGGACGGGGGTTTCTTTTTCTCTACCGAGTTTCTCGGAACTGGACACAGACGCTCACATGTCATGGATGGATTCAGACATGAACTTTGGAAGAGCTTGCGGCTTTTTCTTTGGCTTGTTTTCATAGCGATGTATTTCACTGTTCTTGGAATGGGACGGCAGGTTTCAGTCCGATCGAAGGAAAGCAGATTCAGGTTTGGTGGTTTGCCTACCTGAGCTTTTGCGTATGTACGAGTTTGTATCAAATGGAAGCACTTTACATTTTTTGATAATAAGACGAAAGACTACTGCTCCGTGAAGTGCTTGATTAACCTTGCCATCGTCATGACATGGTATGCCCCTGCTCGGGGGCTTTGCTGAACGACTCGGACGACGGGTCAGCCAGGAACCTTAACTCTGTCCGCAAGATATCAACAGTTCCAATCAACTAAGGGCGTGTGGCTCAGTTGGTAGAGCGTTCGCTTAGCATACTTTCTCTCCTGTATGCGAAAGGTCCTGGGTTCGATTCCCAGCTCGTCCAGAAACTGATTGGTTCTGTTTTTCTTGACTTTTTTGCTTCTCTATCTATCTCTTTTGATTTTTCATCTTTTCAGACCCATTTTGGGAAATGTGCATGTGAAAAAGCTGTGCCACACATCTCGTGGCTTGTGTGAGTCGGAGAAAAGCTGGAGATCTCGTCATGCGGGGATCTGGGGAAGTGGTGCAACAGGGGTTCAAGAATAAGGGAGACGCTAATAAGGCGGGATGACGTCGATACATTTTGCGCCCGTCGGAGTCCGGAATCCAATTGAGGGCCCCCCGGTTCCAGCCTCTCACGAGGACAGGAGCAAGACACCTCGGCTCGGGAAAGACATACACACGACGATGCTGTCGGATGGGTCTTGTCTTTTTGTTGATGACATGATTGTTTAATCTTGAGATGAAATAGTTTCTGTTTTATATTTAAAGCTACAGTTGGCCAGTCTTGGATTCCGGGACCCCCTCTTCCTTTGTGACGCCTCTATTTGTACATTACCACACAACAACTACAGCACTCGGTCCCAGTCCGACCATTTTTCTTGAGCTCAGCTTTCTTGTACAGTATCATATTATTTAAGCGACTTCGAGCGGCTGAAGACGAAAGAAGATGCCTCGCGCAGATAAGCTCCTTGCCTCAATAGGCCACGCTGCCTCCGGCGCCGGCGGTACCGTAGTCTCGACGTTAGCGACGTACCCGCTGGATCTAGTTAATACCCGGCTTAAAGTACAGAGACAACTTCGAGTCGACGGAAAGATTCGAGATGAAGACGGCTATGCTGGCATTTTTGATGCCTTTGCGAGGATATACGAGAAGGAAGGCGGCTTGCAAGCATTCTTTGCTGGTCTGGGCGCAGATCTGGGGAAGTCGGCTGCTGATTCTTTCTTGTTCTTCTTGTTTTACACGGTAAGATCTCTCATCTTGGCGCTGTGGATCAAAGAGGTGCTGACGATGGCGGTGGGTATATAGTGGTTTCGTACCCGAAGACTAGTAGGCCGCAATGGCTTACCCCATCTTCGCGTCATCGAGGAACTTGCAGTCGGTGCAGCCGCAGGAGCATGCGCGAAACTGTTTACTACACCCGTGAGCAATGTTGTTACGAGACGACAGACAGCGAGTTTGATGGACGCCTCCAGTGATGACGGTCACCCGAAAACGAACGATCTCTCATTCTGGGAAATCGTGTCAGAGATGAGGCGAGAAAGGGGATTGCTGGGTTTGTGGGCTGGATATTCGGCCAGTTTGGTCCTGACGCTGAACCCCAGCATGACCTTCTTCTTGCAGCAGATTCTCAAACGGATATTAGTGCCACGGGAGAAGTGGGATGACCCGGGTGCGCAGAGGACGTTCTTCCTGGCGGCGATGAGCAAGGTTGCTGCGACGTCCGTGACGTATCCCTTCCAGATCGCAAAGGCGCGGATACAAGTTTCGGGGAAGCATGAAGAGAAGGGTGAGAAGGATATGGCTGGCCGAAAGAAGCTGCCGAGAGATACCATCTTCTCCATGGTGGCGAGGATAGCGAGGGAGGAAGGGGTGAAGGCACTTTATGATGGAATGGGCGGCGAGCTCCTTAAGGGGTTCTTCAATCACGGAACAACGATGCTGACGAAGGACATCATCCACAGCTTTATCATCAAGCTGTACTTTGCGATACTTGCCGCGTTGACGAATTACCCACAGATCAAAGCGGGTTTGATCAAAAAGGTGCGGGAGGTTCGTGAGGATATGCGCAAGAGGAGGTCGCAAGCTACGTTGCTTGGGTTAAATGGGTTCGAACGGGGGATGCAGTTTGTCCGGAGTACTGGGTCGGTAGTGGAGAGTAAAGCAGCATAATTTGTAGAATCCCGAGTTCTTTTTTCACGTCGATAACCCGTCTATTTCAAGTGCTGTATACCTGGTGTGGAGTAGTTGCCCATTTCATACGGTGAAGTTGACTTGATCCTTCTTTACCTCATTGCTGCCTCCTCCCACGAAGCCTGTGCCTTCACGTCGCAACTCTACCAGCCCGGGCTTGATCTTGTCCTTGGAGTCCTTCTTACCGGCTCCTTTGGTATCGCTCAAGTCGGCTTCGCAGACAAAACAGAGTACCGGGTCCGAGCCGGACGATTTCATGAACTGGTCCACACAGCTTTTGCAGAGAACATGGCCGCAAGGTTTTGCCAAGGTCGCCTTGGATGAGTTGGTCAGCCCCTTTTTACACGCCGGGCATATCGGATGGGACTTCTTGGTCTTTTCATCGGCCTCCATGGTAAAGTTGACCGTCACTAGAGTATGCAGTGAATAATGGTGTGGTTTATCTTCAGACGAAGAGGGACATGTCGGTTGGGTCTTGGCCTTCTTTTTCACTTCGTGCAATACGTTGTTGGTGTTGGAGGATGGAGTAACTGAGGGTGACCAGAACGATGGTAATGTTGGTTTGGCGGCCTGTATCACCGTCAATAACGTACTCGGGCCACGAGTACTCCCATATGTAATTCCCTACCTTTTCACTATCAAGAACCTTCCTCGCTTTTGCCCGCTCTTCTGCAGCAATCCGGGCAAGTTCGTCGTCGTCCAGTGAGAACTTTCGCTTTTCGCCCTTCTTCAGACTGTCGCCCTCGCTAGCATTACTGCTTTCCCGTCCAAGAGTGCTGGGGGTTTGGGTTATTGCTGGCGTCGTGCTCGTCGTGCTCGTCGTCCTCGTCGTTGGTCGCCCATTACCTCCACTGCCAGCACCGTTCTTGAGACTAAGTCCCGCCTGGGTGAGCTCGAAATCTTTTATTGCCCGTAGTTGTGCTTCGGCGTCCTGGCGCGCCTGTTCTTCTTGCGCTTCGCGCTCTTCCTGCTCGCGGGTCTTTTCGGCGCGTTTGATTTCCTTCTTTTGCGCTAAGATGTTGCTGAGGGCGCATTCGCGGCAAAAGATGTCGCCTTGTGCGCAAGAGACGGGGTCAATCGCGGGTTCGAGGCACAGCCAGCAAGATGCGAAGGGGAGGAACGAGTCTCGGGAGAGGCGTGCGGTGGATGACCCCCAAGCTACTTTGGCCATCGCCCGCTCGTGCGAGGTGAAGATGGGACGGCTGGTATTTCTTTTGCCTGAAAGGTTAGCGGTTATTCGTCGTTGGAAGGGGGAGTAGTCTTACTGTGTGCCATCTTGAGATTATTGCCTTCTTAAATGATTTGATACGACTTTGTTGTTGCTATTCTGCTATGTTTGGGTACGAAGTAAGGTCCCTGAAGCCTCAACTTTGATGACGGCTACATCAACGGGCACCCACCACCCTAACAGATTGGCAGTGTGGGGCTCTCCTTGCAGCTGGGCGTCCGGGCAATTGTCTTGGCAGTCAATAGAGATCCCCTTCAGGGGTTCCAGCCGCTGGAGTTGGATGCCACATGCTAAAACTTGGCGCGGGTGTGGACCGCTCTTGTCGTCGGGGGACCGCGATTTTTTTCGAACAGAGTTAGAGAAATCTCGATGGATTTTCTGGTGTCTCCATTTTCAAGGCATCTTTTTCTGTGGGGAACCTACTGAGTCCCGCGCCCCCATGGGCAAAAAGATATTGTTGAAGACTTGGTTGTTGGGCCATCTTGTTTCTTTTTTTCCCTCATTCCTTCCTGTGGCGGCATTTCACTCATTCGCTTTATAGCCAGGAGCCCCCAAGATCACGGCGAGCGAGGCAGTTAATTTCTGTCCCTGTTATTATTAGCTGTCATTTTTCAATTTTCTCAGTCGTGCATCTTCGAGGGAATTCGGCAATGGATTGTTGAAAAGCATCGGACTTAGGAAAACAAAACAACTCCCAACTCATTCTTTTTAACGAATATTCTTCTTTTTATATATTCCCCTCAACCTGGTTTTGGTTGCTACCTCGGCCCACTCATTTGGGTGTTTCTCACTTACACCAGTTTAAAAGGTTTCGCTTACACCACTGTTTCAATCTGGCGCCGGAAAAGAGAAGAGACTGCTCGATGGCAGAAAAGCAGGAACTACGCGAAATGTCGCCACGCGCGCCGCCGGCTGCGTCCAAGCCGAGCCTGTCGCTGCGCATGAAGTCCTCCATGATCATGGGCATTACGGGCTTGTTAGGGCGAAGTTTTCTGTACGGTTTCAACAAGGTGGAAGCGACGGGGCTGTCACGGTTCATCGAATTATTAGACAGTCGACAGGATCCGGAGAAGAGACAGAGAGGCTTGCTGACTGGTAATTTTACCTCTTACTTTTCACCTACATCTACGTTTACACTAGAATCTCATAATACAAAATCAAAATATATGCTAACTCATACGCTTAGTCTCTAATCATGTGAGCGTGTGAGTAATCATTCATGTTTTCGTGATAACAAGCTGCGCATTTATCTTCCAACTCTCATGAGAGCCCCAGCTCATCGATCTCTCATAAAACAGACTCGATGATCCCGCAGTATGGGGTCTCCTCCCCCTTAGCTACGCCTTCAACCCCAACAACCTCCGCTGGACCCTCGGCGCCCATGACATTTGCTTCAAGAACAAGTATGCTTCCCTCGTTCCCCTCCTCTCTTCTCACCCCTCCTCTAGCTGTCATCCCTTTCCCGCTTCCTCCTCCCGGCCTGCAATACTGACGACCTTCCAGATTCTTCGCAAGCTTCTTCACAGCAGGCCAAGTCCTCCCCTGCCACCGCGCCAAACACTCCCAATTCGCCGGCCTCCACCAGCCAGCCATGACCCAAGCCATCCGTCTCTTGTCGTCTCCCTCTGTTACCGCCTCTTCCCCAGAAACGTACACCACAACCGGCACCGACTCCATACCCTCCCCCCTCACCCACCCGCTCTACCGAAAACACTCTTGGGTGCACGTCTTCCCTGAAGGTCTCGTGCATCAACACCCCGACGTCGACCTGCGGTACTTCAAATGGGGCGTAGCCCGCTTGATTCTGGAAGCTGATCCCGTCCCTGATATTCTGCCCATGTTCATCGACGGAACGCAGCGGGTCATGCCTGAGGATCGCGGTTTCCCACGTTTCCTGCCGAGAATAGGCAAGACTATCAGA